CTGTGGACCCCCTAGGGATCTCGGACCCCCTGTTGAAGACCTCTGGAGTAGAGGATTGCTTTTGTCTTAGCTGGTCTTCTTGATTAATTGAGCTCTGTATTCACCCTTACAATATTCTTCCTCTCTGTTAGACCTGAGCTTATTACTGTTCAGATTTGAATACTACTGGTGGTTTCTTTTATTAAAATAAAACAGTGGGGAAATTAACCACTTGACACCCATTGTTGCAAGTATGCAACAATAACTTTGTATAAATATCATATGCATTCTCTAAATATATATATTTATATACATTTGGATGTCAAGCGATAAGAAGTAGATTGAGTTGAGGGGTGCCCACTGAAGACCTAGGTACCAGATGAACAGCCCGCCACTGTAAGAAATGGTGGTGAGATGTCTGTTTTATTGATTTCATTTAAAGCAAAAATTCATGCCTGTGCCATGATTACTTTTAAAACCAAGCTGGTGGTGAGAGATCAACAAAAAAATCCAATCTGACTGGATGATCTGGTAGAATTGTTTCTTTTTGTTATATAAACATTGACTAGAGATGATAAGAGACTTCATTATTTAGTCATACAGTGAGCTAACTCAACTCTATGATGCAGATTATGTACACTGGTATACAGATGTGCCAAAAGTGCTAAATTGATAATGTGCATATCATATACAGGTATTGATGACATTGTTATGGTAATTACATATTATATATGATTTAAAGATTTTACATCAAGACTGAATTACAAGTACATGTCTGTTAATGCTATAGTATTTTCCTATTTACAGATAATGAATGATTGATGCCGTACACTTTTACATTTTTTTTCATCAATATTTCAGTACATGACTTTTTCAAATGAGAAATACAACAAACACTACAAAAACGACAGCATTATCCTAACATTAGACACAATGTCAATGGCTAACTAAGTTAATTTCATTGAGTCTGTCCCAGATAGCCAGACTAATGTTAGGCTACATACTATACTATAGGATCCATCGGCGTATATTTGGATGTTCTTGTTTGGTTCATCCACTGACTGTGAAATTATCTGTGAAACTCCCCACAGCCAGCAAACTGCTTGTTTTTGCCGCCAAATGCTACACATGTAGGCCTTTTTACTGCGCATCTCTGTGGGTGTGGGGAGTAACAATATGGCGGCCGGTGGCTTCACTTTTTTCTGGATAGCAGCAATCACTTGAATTTAAAAAGATCAATGGAAATGGGCTCTATGCACAACTCCACTACTTCCTGATCTTAAGGCAGCTCCTTTGTTTTCTGTCTTTTTCTCTGGGTTGAATTTTAATTCCAGGTGTGCCTGACCTCAGGAACCATAACGGAAATGGCCAGACACACCAGGATGAATCAATTCATCCAGTAGAAAAAGACTGAAAAAAGAAGAGCTGCCTTAAGTTCAGGAAGTAGTGGAGTTTTGCGTAGCACCCATTTGCTGACAAAAAATACTTGCATGCCTTGTATTTCAACCTGGCAAGACTCATGCAGAAGACAAGCATTGATTAGAGATTTGTATTGAAATGAGAAATATAGTTTTTGGTCTTCGGGCCCCAGTGGAAGCTCAAAACCACAATAATATGGCTGAACAGATGAAATAGGTGATTTTAGGTAACACTGGTGGTAGACTGGAGGCCCAAAGGAAGAATGCAGCAAGATGAAAATGAGGATGATGGTTGAGATTGAGGGAGGGTTGTAGCTTGATGGTAGAGAAAGCCATTAACATACTGGTGCCAAACTGGTCCCAGAAAGGGCCGTGTTGCTGCTCTGTGATTTGCCATCCGAAAGCAATAGCACACCAGACTCCAGTCATCTCACCAAGTGGCCAGGTTAAGACCAGTGTTGCATCGATACCGATACCAGTATCGGGTGAGGCCCCGTTATTGCACTACAATGGTGGTATCGGTATCGGAGAGTACCAACAAATAGGGCATTAATACCATTTTGAGAGCCAGAAGTTTCTTCAACTATTGTCACCCATTCCAGGTAGGCAATAAAAAGTTTTACTGGATTCACTTTGTATTAGTGTTTTTCCTGCTTCACAAAGGAAGGCAGCAGCTTGACGACGCCATGATGGCAATTATTTTACATCCAAGTAGTATGCAGTTCTTCATATACACACACACATCAATTTCAAACAGATGGTATCGGTAATTTGTCTGTATCGGCCAAACTATACAGGTAGGCGCAACACTAGTCTTAACTAGTGTTGCGCGGATGCCATTTTTTAGCCCCGATAGGATACCCTATACCTGGCTGTGTAGTATAGGCCGATACAGATGCCATACCGATACCGTATGGTTGAAGTTGATGTGTGTGTATATATCCAAAGAACTGCATACAACTTGGATATAAAATAATTGCCATCATGGTTTGTCAAGCTGCTGCCTTCCTTTGTGAAGTAGGAAAAACACTAATACAAAGTGAATCCAGTAGACCTTTTTATTGCCTACCTGGAATGGGTGACAATTGATGAATAAACCTTTGGCTCACAAAATGGTATCAGTGCCCTATTTCTTGGTACTCGCCGATACTACCATTTTAGTGCTAGATCGGGGCACCTTCCGATACTTATATCAGTATTGATGCACCACTTGTTAAGACTGAACTGGAGTCTGATATATTAATGTTTGGATGGAAAGACACTCAGCAGCCACACGGCCCTTTCTGGAACCTGTTTGGTACCCATGCATTAGCAGAATGCAGTCCTAGATCAGTGTTTTCCAACCCTGCTCCTCCGGGCACTCTGCCCTGCATAGTTTAGAAGTTTCTGTGCTTCAACACACCTGATTCAGATGATTGCAATCTAGGAAACCCTGATAATCTGATATCAATTGATATCAGGTGTGTGGAAGATGGGAAACATCCAAGATATGCCGGCCAGTGTGCTCCCTGAGGAGCACTGATGAAAAACACTTTAGCCCCTGTGACAACTTGACATAAATTGTCAAGTTGTCACAGGGGCTAAAGTGTTTTTGTCAGGCATAAGTGACCAGCTTATGCCTGATGTACGGAAAACCTGGAAAAAACGCTGGCATACATTGGATAAGTAATGGGTACATTTTGTATAATTAATGAGCACACTGAAGTGCACTGAAGCACGCTAAAACACGTCGGCATACAGCAGGTGTTTTTTGAGCACGCGTTACGCTACCATGCGTTATGCATAAGTTAGGCTGTGGTCATAAGTTCTGGACTCGTTATGAATACGCTATGTATACCCCCATTAAAAACATACATAAAAAGTTAAGCGTACGCTAGCTTTTTTAGGAGATTCTGGGACGTCAGGCATACGCTGGCTAAATCGGCAAGGTGTTACAGGGTCCTAACCTAGATGATGATTAGCTGTGTGCAAAGGCCTGATAGTTTTGCAGCAGCAAAGCTTTAGACGGCGAAGGGATTAGAGCCACAGTAATGCTGAATTAAGTATTTTACTCTTTTTTTTTCTCCTTTGCTTAATTTTACTGCAGTGGGAGGATTTTAGTCTGGAAGTTTTTTCATGAAGTTTGGCTTTCTATTAGAAAAAAGGCATTTTTTTCTTTTGTTTTAAGATTAAAAGTATTTTCTTCCTGACTAAACCCTCCCCATTTTTCCGGGCTTGGGACCGGCATTAGAGCAACATCCTGTCTCCCCAATGGCTGGTTTACAATGATGTGAAAGGAGTGGAAAGTGACCACTCTTATCCACACCTGTTGGTGAAAGCTCCTGAAGGCTGTCAACTTGAATATAAATGGGGGATGAAGGAGGTACCCTTTTCATCTTCTTTTTTCGGAGCAACATGACACTGACAGACACAATCACAGCTGCGACAGACACCAGCCCAATGCTCAGTCCTATGAGTCCAACACCTGTAGAACAGAACCAGATGTTAGCCTGATCCATCAGATAGAACATCATCTATTGTGCTGAAACTAGCTTCTTTTTACATAGTCTCATCATCAGCATATAAAGAAATGTCAACATCTGATCTGAGATCAAACGGAAGTTATGTCCCTCGTTGTACAGCTTTAAGATGTCAGGATATCCTTCCTTGAATGTCAAGTTCATTAAGCTTTGGATATTGGTCGTTATCGATGACTTGTTCTTCAAAACATGACAAGCACTTATCTAAGATAACATCACATCTTTACAGAAGTTAATGAACTCACTAATAGTGTACTACCGTTTGTGATTGTCTGGTCCCTCTGGGTTTATGGGCTTATTGAGAACCCTCAAAACTTAAATTCCGAAATAGTTAAAAAACAAACCACTTGGACAGTTTGAAGACTGTTTGTTTCCCATCCAGGACGCTTTTTGAATTCAAAATGTCTGGAGTAGTGTTGAGCTCCAGGCTTACAGAGAGGCCCAAACCAAAGCCTTGCTGCTACCCTATATGCCGTCACTGTGATGCCAGTCTCATCTGACTTGGTTTTTCAAAGGGTCTGAGATAAATCAGGCTGTGTTCAAATTGACCAACAAGTGGAGTATATGGTAAATTGTCTTTAACCTTGACTTAGTTTAGGTGTAAAATGTCGTTGTAGAAGCATCTGAGATTAACTCAACTTAACTCAACTCAACTTTATTGTCAAATGTGCTACATGGTAACATGCAACACAGATGAAGTTTCAGTCCTCTCAACCCCACGGTGCATAATTAAATATAGAACCATAGCATAAAATAAAAATAAAAATCTAAGATATAGAAATAAATATCAAAATATTTAAATATGTAAACAGTAATGCGAATGGTGCAAATAGTGCATAGAGTAGCAGTCCTGACGTGGGGGAAGTAGTGGAGGACGGGGTTATTGGGGGGTCAGGGGGGGGCGAAGGGGGCCAGGGCAGGGAGGGAATTGAGCATCCTCACTTCCTGATGGAAGAAGCTGTCTCTGAGCCTACTGGTTCTGACCCGGAGACTCTGCAGCCTCCTCCTGGACGGCAGCAAGGTGAAGACATTGTGGGCGGGGTGGGTGGGATCACCTGCGATCCTGGTGGCTCTGTCGGTGAGGTGGGAGTGGTAAATGTCCAATAGAGAGGGGAGGGGGACACCAAGGATCTTCCCAGCTGCTTTCATGGTGCGCTGCAGTGTCTCCGTACCACACAGTGATGCTGCTGATCAGGATGCTCCTGGTGCCCTTGTAGGAGTGCAGGATGGGGGATGGGGCTCTTGCTCTCCTCAGTTTCCGCAGGAAGTATAGTCTCTGTTGGGCTTTCTTGGCCAGGGACGCGGTGTTGGTGTTCCAGGACAGGTCTTGGGAGATGTGGACACCCAGGAACTTGGTGCTACTCACCTGCTCCACCTCAGCACCGTTGATGATCAGGGGAGCGTGCTGGGCAGGCCCTCTCCTGAAGTCCACCACAATCTCCTTCGTCTTCTCTACCTTCAGATGGAGATGGTTGTCCTGGCACCACGTGGCCAGGCAGCTCACCTCACTCCTGTAGTTCGTCTCATTGTTGTTGTTGATGAGACCCACCACAGTTGTGTTGTCTGCAAATTTGATGAAGATGTTGGAGCCGAATGTTGGAGTGCAGTCGTTGGTCAGCATAGTGAAGAGGAGGGGGCTAAGCACACATCCTTGGGGGGCCCCCATGTTCAGCGTGATGGTGCTGGAGGTGTTGCTACCGACCCGAACAGCCTGTGGTCTCCCCGTCAAGAAGTCCAGCAGCCAGTTGCAGAGGAAGGTGTTGAGTCCCAGCTGGACCAGTTTGCCGATGAGCTGCTGGGGGACGATGGTATTGAATGCTGAGTTGAAATCGATAAACAGCATTCTGACATGTGAGTCCCTCGTCTCCAGGTGGGTGAGGGCTGAGTCTATCTATCTATCTATCTATCTATCTATCTATCTATCTATCTATCTATCTATCTATCTATCTATCTATCTATCTATCTATCTATC